CCCCAAAACCCCAAAACCCCAAAACCCCAAATGGATATCGTAAGGTTGAATAACTAGTCATTTTTACCTTGTCACCTCAATTCTGATGTTTGACACTTCAGATTCTCTATGAACCATATAACTTCTCTTTGACACTCTTTGTAATGCAGCAGGGAGTACTTTTGAAGAAACTTGTGTTGGCTTGTTTCTGCTAGATCATTTGATATTATTAATTATAGTAACTATCAGAGTTGCTAGAAGTTAAACCTAAGTCTTACAGATCATGATGAGTGTGATGATCAATGAGTTAGATAGGATTATGAAGCTAAAAGCCTTAGTCACAGTTGGAGTCCATTTACTTTCTGAGTTAAATAGTCATAGGAAGAAACTGAGTGTCAAGAAAATTAACTCATTGACAATCTCGATGATGTTGTTTTCTGGCCTTGTGAATGGGCGGATGAGCATCAAGAGCAGGAAGTATAAAGTTTGGATACCCGAAAGTATTCATGATAGATAGAAGGAGTCAAGGCTTTGTAGTAAGATGAGTATCAAGATCATCATAGTCCTTCTTGTAAGTGCTGCAAAGGAGTATATTCTGGAATATTTTGAGTCTGAAACTCCTGTGATGAACTCTGATAATTTGTAGGCTTCATCTGGGTCAAAGATATCTCTGGTTGAATAGAAGATATAGAAAGAAAAGAAAATGCAGGTCATTCAAATGAGTAAACCTACTAAAGCAAATCCAAGAGATATTTGAGATGCTAAAGTAGAGGTATTTCTCTTAGATAACTCTGAAGAACTTGTTATTAGCAAAAGCTGAAATCCTTCAACTATAATTCTGATAAATATAGAAAAATTAAACAGTTCCAAGATGCCTCTTCCAAAGTTGTTTCAAGAAATCTTCTTTCTATAGCCAATTTCTTTAACACATCATTTCAGGAGCATCACAAAAGGATAGACGGAAACTATAGCCAAGAAAGTTATGACTAAGTTTAGGTTGGTATAAATACTAGTCTTGGATTTAATCCCAATGCGATGAAGATACACGTCATCTTGCTCCTGCATGACCCAACCTTCAAACTCAGATATATAAGGGAGCTTAGCCACTGGTAAGAAAGACATGTCAAAGGACATAAAGTCATTGTCAGCTATTATGTAGTTTATCTCTCCTGGTAGGGGAGTTCTGGTGAGGATTAGTAAGAGAAATAGCTGAAATTGGTTCACAAGGGACCAGATTCCTGTGAGAGAAGACATATTTAGAATAGATACTCCTATGACAGCTCCCATGCTTATGCCAGTCGCTATTTGAGCACTAGTGGAAACTCCTTCTGACATTGATGTTGACTCTAGATTTGACTGATCCCCACATCTTGAAATTATACTGCTGTCTTTAAATTCTTGGTTAAACTATGCAAATTAGATACCAAAAATGATAACATTTTTATCATAAATTTTGAAATAGGAAAGGAATCTATCTTTAATAATTGCTTACTTTTCACTTGTTTCAAAAGCTTGGGTCTAAAAAATCATGTCAGAGAAGGAGAATTCAATATTCTTACCTTTTTCAAAGTTTTTACAATAATATCCTTCCTCCACTTTTCATTCTGAGCTGCATCCGTCATCGCTAAATTTTTTCAAATTAATGATGACGTAATTAGTAGAAAGATATTAAGAAAATTTCATACCTATTGGTATTGCCATCATCTCATTCTTTTGGACCAATAATGACTCCAATACCTCATAGAGGAGATCAGGTGCTTGTCCCAGTTGATGTGCAGGTATATCCTTCCTCTACATTTCAGTTTTCATCTCAACCATCACCAGGAGTTGTGTTTCCATCATCTCATTCTTTTGGACTTATGACAACTCCAGTTCCTCATATGGGAGTTCACACACTTGTCCCATTTGATGTACAAACATATCCCTCCTCTACATTGCAGTGCTCATCGCAACCATCACCAGGAGTATCGTTTCCATCATCTCATTCCTTTGGGCTTATGACAACTCCAGTTCCTCATATAGGAGTTCACACACTTGCTCCATTTGATGTACAAGTATATCCTCCCTCAACATTGCAGTTTTCATCTCAGCCGTCTCCATTGTCAGTGTTACCATCATCTCATTTGAGAGGTGATACAAATAGAGGATTTTGAATCCCATTACCTCACACTATATTGCAAGTGTCTGGGTTCGAAATCGAAGTCCATCCTCCACAGACGTAATCAGTTTCTGGCTTTCAATCAGAGCTACAGCCATCATTGTTATCTGTATTTCCATCTTCTCATTCTTCGAGAGCTGAAATCTTAATGCCATCTCCACAAATAGGAGTTCAAGTGGTATTTTCAATCCCAGTTCAAGTAAACCCAGCTTCGAGTTGTCATGTGTTGCTTCAGCCATCTCCACTGGAAGTGTTCTGATCGTCTCATTGCTCTCCTGTAGCATAATACCCATCTCCACATTGAGCAGGGAATCATTGATAGGGATCTTTGCCGCAGCTATATCCTGACTCAAGAAGTCATGCTTCATTACATCCAGGTAAAGTAGAATGTGAGTCGTCGCACTCTTCAAGATGTTCTCTTTGAACGATTCCATCTCCTCATGTTGCTAATGCTAAACCAAGATTAAGTTCAAAATAAAACATAAAAATCTTTGATTATTTTTGGACTTACGATTCATGTATGAGAAAGAGTTGCCAAGTATTCCCAGATTTGTATCATCACGGAACCTCAGACTACTGACTATGAATTGAGGACTGTCTCATTTTTGGTAGCACCCAAGAGCATTTTTAGAACTTGTTAGACCAAGATCAGAATATTCATCTCCAGGAGAAAGATCCCCATCTATTGAATTATATTGGTAGGAGGAGAAACCAGATGAATTTTTGTAAAATCCAAATTTATTCCATCCTTCTATATCAAAAGTTTCAGACAATTTAATGCTTTGGATATAGATATCTTACTCATTATTTGTTTTTCTGAAATTATACCGTCAGATCTGAGCATAGTTGAGAACATATATTTTGCTATAGTTATGTGAGACTCTATTTATCATTTTTGAAGATCATAAGTTAAATAAAGCAAATCTTGTATCCAAAGGAAAGAATCTTAATTTTATGAATTCAGACTTACAAGTAGCATAAATGTAAGAAATGCCAATATAGATATTCTTTGTGCTTTCTGAAGTGTTCTATATTTGGTAAGCTCTTGAGATACCGTAATGTTTCCCAGATAAATTCTGTTGATCTCAATATCGTAGAAATACACCCAAAGTTCAAATGAGTATCCACTTGAATACTCAAAATTAACAGAATGCTCAAGATATTTTCCTGGCTCCATTAGGACTCCTTGAGGGGTAAAGGTAGGATTATTTGTTCCTCCTACGAGTTTGAAATTATCTTACCTGGGAGAGTAAATATCGGAACCCCAGTCTCTCCTTCGTTATTGCTAACTTGAGTACTACCCCTACATAAAAAGTTACCGTTATTGGCTCAGTTAAATTCCATGAATTAAGAACTTACATTTTCTCTGTGAAATCATATGTCAGTTGTATACAAGAAGATATCCTTCAAATATGGATGATCAATACTATTAGTCAGAATCTTTGCCAAATAGACATCTATACCGATTGCATTAGAGTTTTCAGATAATGTCAAAAGGTTTTGGGCAGGAAAAATATTTATCCATAATAAAATTACACACATCTAAAATGTGGTTTTACCATTAAAAAGTGGGAGAAGATTTAAAGAAATGAACTCTAAGTTTTAATAAGGTTAGAATTGAAGAAAATTCTGAACTGGATTTTATGGTAATGTGGAGAAAGTAGCCAATATAACCATTCTGCTTCTCTCAGCTAATAACTTCTGTTTTTATGATAGAAGAAACTTTGATATATATTATTTTCACCATAAGTGTGATTTTGTTGTCAAATTCTTATAAATTATCAGCAAAGAAGAAAAGCTAATGCCTAATTTTTATTAGATACAAAAGTTACCATTGTTTTGTTAATATCTTTTTTAAATAAACTTGAGTTTCAAATTTTTCTGGTTATTTGGGGTTTTGGGGTTTTGGGGTTTTGGGG